TATATATATATATTTATATATATATAAAAGTATTATCTTTATAAACTGAATGCGTAGAAAGTGGATAAATAAATAATACTGACAAATGATTTGTCTATTTATTTTAAGTTCCTTTATGAAGATAATTTAATCACATTATCATTGAAGGACGAAAGGCAATCACCATATTGATACATATTTAAATCCAATCTAAGCTTTCGTCTTACATAACCCATTATTAAAGATGACAATTACATTTCAATATACCAAACAATACACGGACGAAACAATAATGATAGTCTTTTTTTTGCTGCAGGAAAAATTTCAAATCAACGACAAACTCGTGTATACGAGACACGCAAGCGAAAATCGCATCGCAGCTCATGACGTCACACATGACGACGCGAGAGTGAAAACGAGAAATATTAAGTATGGGAAGCCAGTGGTATAAACCAATGGCTTCTCAATAAAAGTTACCAATTATAGGCATTTAAGAATATTTGTGGAGATTTCATAGTTTATTCTGTTAATATAGGTTTCAACTGTTTTATGTATATATATCAAGAATTTTTTTATTTTTGATTATTGTTTTATGTTTAAGTATAGTTGTATTTTCAACAAAGATTTTCCGGAATTGTTTACGCGGCCAGGCATTTTGTTTTAAATGTCTAAAAATGTTAGAGTTATCATTCAAACGTGGAGTCGGTGTGTTGTTCGATATATTGAAATGTAATTGTCATCTTTGATAATGACTTATGTAAGCCGAAAGCTTAGATTGAATTTAAACATGTATCAATATGTTGATTTTATTTCGTCTTTCAATGATAATGTTATTAAGCTAATCAGACAATATGAAAGGAACTTATAATTAAAATAAATAGACAAAACTTGTCTATATTATTTAATGAAACATGTATATATATATATATATATATATATATATATAGAGAGAGAGAGAGAGAGACAGACAGACAGACAGACAAAGAGACATACAGGCAGAGTGGGAGAATAATAATAAGTTTAATAATAATAATAGAAATAATTCAAACAATAAATATATTGGTTACACAACTACTGCATTATCGTATCGTTAAACGTTTCAAGTAATTAAAATGTCGGATTGAAAATGAATCCTTTCCTTCTATATATAATCATATACATATATACATTTATGTGTGTGTGTGTGTGTGTGATATGTGTGTGTATGTCTGTCTGTGTCTGTGTGTGTGTGTGTCTTTTGAGGTAGGTAACGCTTATTGAATCGGAAATGTTTCACTGATTGACAAAACCTGTCTTTCTTCCGATTGGCGTCGTATATAAGCTTCCATTCGACGCCGACGTAAATGCAGCCTTCTTTCCGATTCGATATTTGCACAAATCGGCGGCAGGTGGCGCCAACCGCCGCAGCTGATTCCCCCGCGTTCTTACAGCGAACGATGTCTGCAGATACAAAGCTGTGTCGCCGGGCTGTTTGCAACGGGACGAAGGCTCCGCGATAATAAACCCCCACCGCAGCAACTTGGTTTTCTCCCATCACAGTCTCACTGCAAAAGACGCTTCTACTTTGCACAGATGAATGCATTTGATAGACTCAAGTATTGCGCAGAAAAGATCAATATCAAGGGAAGATAATTGATTATCGATTTTGTTATGTATTTTATATTAACGCGTCCATTTTTACTCGGGTCCCATCGCCATCTTTCCCATAATTCTGCAGGCGGCTGGTGGCGTCGGATTTGGCAATGCTTTTCACTTGAAGAAATTCAATCTACAGTGTCTTATGACTAAAGATAATATTGACTATACACCTACGTCTAGCAAGAGATACATTTTAAACCTTTCAACACGGGCATATAAATGGGCATTAACATAGATAGATAGATAGATAGATAGATACAGATATATTTTTCATTTGGGCAGAAATTCCTCTTTTCTACAAGTTTAAAGATGACTGACAAGGTACTGCGAAAAAAACTTGTACGAACACAAGATAAAAATTTAAAAACCGCAGTACCTTGTCAGTCATTTTAAAAGAAACTTTATATATATATATATATATATATATATATATATATATATATATATATATATATATATATATATATACACACACGCTCTATCTCTGATATCGAGCACTTTATCCCATAAATATAGCCCACCTTAAGACTATATTTCTTCATATATATATATAAATATATATGTGTGTGTGTGTGTGTGAGTGTGTGTGCGTGTGTGTGAAAATTGTGTGTATATAAATATATATATATGTGTAATATATTATATATATTATTATTTATATATTATATATGCGCGGTTGGATTGATGTGAGTTTGCGACCCTGGGTTTCACACTTTTGCAATCGTCAGGCAAACTTATTAGAAAGCGCTCAATATAAGAGATAGAGCTAACAGGCCTAACGATTGGGTCTAGCATGAAACAGCCTGTCGTCTCTAAGTGTTGACTTCAATACATATATATATATATATATATATATATATATATATATATATATATATATATATATATATATATATATATATATATATATATGAATACAGGGTTGGTATAGATGGAATAAAATTCCAATTACCAGAACAACTATTTTTAAAAAAGAGTGCTCAGTACAAAGCAGAGCGAATAATATTTATTTAAAACTTATAACATAAGCATTATAAAAAAAAAAACGAACACTTAAAATACCACCGTGATATATATATATATATATATATATATATATATATATATATATATATATATATATATATATATATATTAAGGCATTAAAAACTAGAAATGTTGTATTGCAGGCCATGATAAGTTTAAAATAAAACACACACCAGTCGACCGGTTTCGTCCCCTCTCGTCAGAACTGTTAACGGGGAATTTAGATTATGAGGAAAAGAAAAAAGTCTGTCATGGGTGACATGAATGAATGGACAGGGAAGGAAGGAAGGAAAAAAAAATGGGATAAAGTGCTCGATATAAGAGATAGAGCGTGTGTGTGTATATATATATATATATATATTTTAAAGTTTCTTTTTAAATGACTGACAAGGTACTGCGGTTTTTAAATTTTTATCTTTTTTTTCAATATTCATTCAATACCATCACTTGATAAGACACCAGAAGTGTTGAAACAAAATGGCTATTTTTGTAGTGATTTTATAACATGTTATAATTTTCGAATAAATTATATATATATATATGTATATATATAGATATAGATATATATATCACAGTGGTATGTTAAGTGTTCGTTTTCATTTTTATAATAATTATATATATTTTACATCCATGTATAAAACGCACCTGATTTTGGAGCCAAGAAAATGACATAAACTTGTGAAAGAGGAAGAGAATAAAATGAAAAAAAAATCAGTAATGGAACATTTTGATGTCTTTTATGCTTTATTACGAAAACATCAAAGTCAGTAATTGGTTGTTTGTAAAACTTGCTAAAGGTTTTTATGGCGAAACAGTCATTAATTGCCTACCAATAAAAATGTTTTTGATGATTTTTTTATTTTGAAATCATACATCATTTGTTTTGGATTATTTTTTTTTTTTCATCGTAAATTATTTTATTTTATTTTATTTTTTTACCTTTGAATGATTTTAACACTCACGTATGTGTCGAGCTTCAACGAAATCCGGAAAATAAAGTACGGAGTCGTGCAGGATTTAGAGAAAAACTATGGAAGATTTATCTCCCTTTGTTGTAATACGCCATTTGTCTATATTTCTGAGATAGGGTAGTGTACCCTTCCAGAGAAAGAGTTACTCAACTTGCCACCCTGTATTTTTACAAGAGGATTACAGCTACATCACGTTGAAATACGGGTTCCCATACAATCATCGAAGTTAAGCAACGTCGAGCCTGGTCAGTACCTAGATAGGGAAACGTTTGCGAATGCCAGAATCTGTAAACACCGATGTGCGGGTGATGTAATGGATAATGGCTCGGATTTTTAAATCGGACAGCCGAGTTCCAATCCCTGTTGTGTTCGTTATATTCACTTACGCGCTAATACCTTTGGGAAAGATATGAATCCGCCTCTTATCTCCCCAGCTATAGGTTAATTAGTATGACGAGTATCACTAAAAATTATTATTACCCCATACAGTCGAAAAAATATATTTACTTACACACGTACAAACGCACACACACACACACACAGAAACACACGCATATATATATATATATATGTGTGTGTGTGTGTGTGTGTGTGTTTGTGTGTGGAGTAATGAATAGCGATTCAGCCTTTCAAATTCAATTTTTTCAGTCACGCAAGGGAGATAACTTTTGAATTTTTTTAAAAAGCAAAACATTTTTTAATTATAATATTTTAATTTAGTATTTTTATATAAAAACTAGCAGCATAGCCCGGCGTTTCCTGTGCTTGATTCAAAAATCGTACGACTCATACAGCAATTGCTATCACTTGACTTAAAAACTTAGTTTTGCCCTTCCTTGCCTTTAAAGGAGTGCCCTTTGCCGTGCTGATGTTGCTACATGCCTTACTTTTTGCCTATCTCACACTGCGGATTTTTTTCTAAGCTCTATACTAAACATTAAATCTGTTACGAAAAAAGAACTAAACAAAATGAACACAAAACGATCAGCTTTAAAAAAGAACTCGTAACTGGAAAAACCGAATGAAAAAAGAATGTTAACAACAAATACTTTTTCACACCCAACCCAGTTCTGTGGAATCAGAATCAACGTTGAGTTTAATCAAGCGAATGAGCCAATTGGAGTAAAGTGCCATGCAGATTTAAATTTTTCCCACTTGTGACGAATGCAGCTATCGATTTTTTTTTGTATGCTAGCATGCTAGTTAACATTCGTATCAGTCAGCTGTTGACTCTCACGCTGGCCAATAGAATCTTCCTTCCTATTCGCGGCAGCCAGCTATAGGCTCTCACTCTGACCAGTACAAGATGGCCGCAAACTACATGAAAACTGCCGTAGAAGCATGAAAAAATCGATTATTTCCACTATCGATGGGAGTCGGAAAATGCAAAGTCGGTCTTGGTCTTCCAGCTAACTTGGAGCATGTGCATGTCAATTTTGGTGCAAATCCGTCGAAAATTGCGGCCTTGCATTCGTTACACACACACATCCTGCCTTTTATAGATAGAGATAAACGTAATAAACCCTTGGGTGATCATGACTTTTTCGATTCACGTCTGACTATGCAGAAGGGTTTTCCCGATTCTGTAGTAGACTGGTCACCAACCAAGGCTATAGAACCATGTCTGCTCTGTTATTCAACTCATAGCTTGGGAGACACAAGATGAATTCATACATATCCCAAGGGTATTTGCATGTAAGTGAATGTATTGAATTCGATTGGATTTAAGAAAATATAAAATACTAGCAGTAGAGCCCGGCGTTGCCCGGGGATGTAACAGTAAGAGATAGATCAAGTATCGACCATCATAAAGACTGAAAAATAAAATTGACAAAGATTATTGTTTAAGGATGACGGACACGCATGTCTTAATTAGTTTTTTTTTTTTTGTTCTTTTGTTTTGTTTTGTTTTACGAATTGGTCAAACCCAAACTCAAACAAAAACATTGTTTTCAATCGTTATGAGTCTATCAATTGAATAGAATTTTATTTTAAACAATTGTCTTGTAAATGGAATTTTTTAAAGCATTCTGAATGTAAAAATAAAGAAAAAGTGTGCAAGACAATAAGAAACACTACCTGCCAAAAAAAAGTGAAGTTTTGTTGAAATCGGTTGAAAAATGTAGGAAATCCGATATATAAACACACACACACACACACACACACACACACACACAACCAACCTGGGTTTTATAATAGGTATAACTCGATATGAGTTGTCCCCCTTTCATTCTGGCGACAGTGATGCCTCTTAATCGTGTTTTCAAATTGGTTTCGTGAAAAAACAATTGTGTTTTTCCAATTTTTAGCTCTGTCAGAACCACCGCAAGGTAATTTTACATAGTCATGTGAAGTTTTGTTGAAATCGGTTGAAAAATGTAGGAAATCCGATCCAATATATAAACGAACAGACACACACACACACACAACCTGGGTTTAATGATAAGTATGATATGGACAAACTAAGAAAAAAATATCTATTATTTATCATTTTACAAAGAAATGAATGCGAGAAGATATTTTTTTTTATCTGTCTATATTTCTGAGATGAGGTATTTCAACTATTTACATTGTTCGGACTGTTGTCCTCACCTTAATTGCTGTATTCACGACGTTCCGGTCGTTATTCTTCAGATGGCATACAGGTGTACATATGTACATTATACAAGTCCAAAAATGATTTTGTTAAGTAACCTAACATAATAGCGGCCTTAATTCTTCTTGGCATGCTACCAAATTCTTTAGTAAGACCTCCAATCGGTTGTGAACTGGGGCAGGAATTGGCTGGTTAACTTTAATGCCTCAAAAACAAAACTGCTCTCTATTACTCATCACAGGGTACCATCCCTGACTCCCATTAGAATGTCTGACGCTCAACTCCACGAGAGCACCTCTTTGCGACTGCTCGGTCTCACGTTGACGGCTGACCTGAGATGGAACAAATACATTGAGTCAATAGCTTCGTCCACCGCAAGGAAAGTTGGCTCCCTGGTCGCGCCAGGAATTTTTTCTAACCCGAATCCATCCTTCAAATCTATAAATCAACCATTCGCCCTTGCATGGAGTATTGCTGCCATATATGGTCTGGTGCCCCAGCTTTTCGTCAGATATGCAATGTGATTGGCCTTGATCTGGCATCTCGTTTACAGCTGCTCTCTCACAGAGGTGCCGTCACCTTCCTCTGTCTTTTCTACAAATACTTTCACGGTATTTCAGATAGGTATATATATATATAGATAGATTTGAAGAGACTGAGACATATATATATATATATATATATAGAGAGAGAGAGAGAGAGAGATGTGAAAAAAGACAGACAGATACATGTGAATAGATTGAGATAGATAGATAGATTGATAGATAGATATGAATAAACTTAGACGCACACACAAATATATATATAGAGAGAGAGAGAAAGAGAGAGAGAAATATAAAGATAAATGTGAAAAGAGATAGATAGATAGATAGATAGATAGATAGATAGATAGATAGATTGTAATAGACAGTGATAGATAGATGTGCATAGACTGTGATAGATGTAAATAGACTGTGATAGATAGATAGATAGATAGATAGATAGATAGATAGATAGATAGATAGATATGAAGAGACTGAGACATATATAGAGAGAGAGGGAGAGGGTGGAGAGAGAATATAAACAGACAAAGATATGAAGAGAGTGAGATAGATAGATGTGAATAGGTGTAGATAGATAGATAGATGTGCATAGACTGTAATAGATGTAAACAGACTGTGATAGATAGATAGATAGATAGATAGATAGATAGATAGATAGATAGATAGATAGATAGATAGATAGATATGAAGAGACTGAGACATATATACATAGAAAGAGACGTAAACAGACAGAGATAGACAGATACATGTGAATAGATAGATAGATAGATATTAATAAACTGTGATAGATAGATAGATAGATAGATAGATAGATAGATATGAATAGACTTAGACACACACACACATATATATATATATAGAGAGAGAGAGAGAGAGTAAAAATATAAATATAAATAGAGTGAGATAGATGTGAATAGGTGTAGATAGATAGATAGATAGATAGATAGTATTTATCAATCCACCCACGGGGATCGAATGCGGCACAAGGCCTTTTTAATGTGGGTATCTCTGAGCCCGTAGGCCCAGCCAAAAATAAATAACCATCCAAACCCACCGAGGCGGGCCAGTTCCGTCAACCTCCCCCAACGAAACCCTACCCTTCGGCGGAGCTTCGTCCGGGATAGATAGATAGATAGATAGATAGATAGATAGATAGATAGATAGATAATGAACGGTATGAAATAGATAAAGAAATCAACTAAACATATGATATAACAATTTGCTGACCAATGTATTTCTCTATTTACCTATCAATTATTTATTCGTTTTGAAGTTCTCAACTTGCAGAGTAAAGCAAGAAAGTCTTGAGTTCAAATCAATCTGTTTTGACATATTGACAGTCAGACATTCATCGATGAAAGATCGATCTATCTGGGATTGCTAAGGGCCAGGAAGTGATTAGGAAAGAGAGAAAAAAAAGCAGATATTGACCACCAGTAATGGGAATTAGTCTCTGCCATTCCCTGATCAGAGGATGGTCGCAAAAGTCGGATATTAATTCTGCAATTTGTCAGAGCCGGTCTCTATCAATAATGGCTGTCAGAGATTTCTACAAAGATAAGTAACTACTTAGCTAGGGATGGAAAGGGCAAGATAGATAGATAGATAGATAGATAGATAGATAGATAGATAGATAGATAGATAGATTGAAATAGGTAAATAAATAGATATATTGAAGGAAATAGGTAGATAAATAGAGAGAGAGAGAGACATAGTGAGGTATACACATATATAAAGAGAAATAGGGTGATAGTAATATACAAACGCACAGATAGATAGATAGATAGATAGATAGATAGATAGATAGATAGATAGATGTTTATGAAAATATGAGCAAATTGAGAGATGACAGACAGAGAGAGATGAAGACGGACATAGATAGATAGATAGATAGATAGATAGATAGATAGATAGATAGATAGATAGATAGATAAAAACATGCTTAGGTAGATATGAACAGATTGAGAAATGACAGAGAGAGAGAAGAAGAAGAAGAAGAAGAAGAAGAAGAAGAAGAAGAAGCGGAAGAGACATAGATAGATAGATAGATAGATAGATAGATAGATAGATATGAAAAGAATGGGATAGATAGATAGATAGATAGATAGATAGATAGATAGATAGATAGATAGATATGAAAGGAATGAGATAGATAGATAGATAGATAGATAGATAGATAGATAGATAGATAGATAGATAGATATGAAAGGAATGAAATAGATAGATAGATAGATAGATAGATAGATAGATAGATAGATAATCTATGTGTCTTTCTGTCTTTATATCATCATTAATATCTCTCCTAACATCATTGATGAGAGCAAAAGGCAATTATCTTTTCACTAATTAGTCTGACTGAAGTATTTTTCAAGTCAATCAAAACTTTCTCCCTTTCTTGAAGCCATCGTTAAAACGAATTGACCACACAACAACGTCTGCTCGCTCCACTTAACTGTAAGCATCCGCTAAATATGAAAAATATCAGACATTTTTTTTTCATCTAAACTAGATCATAAAATATTTTTATAATTGGTCGCTTACTTGAAATTCATTGAGCCGGTTGGGCCAATCTCTTTTCTGTCATAAATTCCATCTTCACGGAGAATTCGTTGGCAACTGAAGGTAAGCAAGGTTGATGAACAATTCTTCTGTTGAATATTTCCATTTTTGGAACTTCGCTTCCATACACCATGTCTTAGACTAACGGAATTATTCAGATTAACAGATTAATGAACACCCCAGGTTTTGTCGAGTTAGATTTTTAACAGGTCGGGTTATTTAATATTAAAAAAAGAACGTAACCAAGAGAACAATTCATTAAAAACAACTTGGCACAAACAATGGAAAAATATGTATGATAGAGAGAGAGAGAGAGAGAGAGAGAGATCTATCCACATATAAAGAGAGAAATAAAGAGATAAAAATATACAGACAAATAGTTATATATATATATATATTTCTAATCGACTATTTCATAGAAAATCCACAAAATTTAAAAAAATTAAATCACTAACAAACATCAAATTAAATTATTTGTAGACAGTTTAGAGACATTCAAATTTATATCAAACATTATAATCTTTATGAACCCCCAAAATAACACTTTCAAAGTAAAACAAAATGACAGCGTCTTTTTCGAGCCTTTTTTTTACAAAGAAAATTAGTGACAACTTCTCTCATAACTTCCCTTTTTTTCTCTCTATAGGTTTTTTCTTCTCTACCCCTTCGATATCAATATATAACTTCCGTTAAGTTAACCGTTTAAATGTGTCAATATCTGCTAACTCACTCATGCCTTCTCTTTCCCCACCTCACTTCCTCACTTCGTTAATTTACATATGTTTAATACGGCCCATCAAAAATGTGTAAATTTTCTTTTCATTTTTTGTTTGGAAGTAAAGTCTGATGATCCGCAGTCCTTTAAAAGGCCTGTGGTGAAATAATTTATTACATGGAACCTTAAAGTGTTTTGTTTTTTATTTAAATTAATATATATATATATATATATATATATATAAAAGTGAACATGTGTCAATATCTGCTAACTCAGGGAGCTCATGCAATCTCACACTATATGCAATCGTCAGGCCACGAGTGACCTGACGATTGCATATAATGAAAACAGAACTCTCGCCTCTAAGTGTTGACTTCTATGTTCACTTTTATATTTACACACGCTCTATCTCTGATATTGAGCACTTTATCCCATAAATATAGCACACCTTAAGACTATATTTCTTTATATATATATATATATATATATATATATATATATATATATATAATATAGTAATGAAAAACTTGGTAATCCGTATGGGTAGTTCCAAAGAGGATGGAATCCTGAGAACTCAATGTAAATTCGGAGCTAATAATTTAAAGAAAAAAACAGACTACTTTAAGGTTCCATTGTAATAGTTTATTTCACCAGAAACTTTTAAAGTTCCCTGGATCTTCAAACATCACTTTCAAAAGGTGAAACGAAAAATGAAATGAAAATTTACACTTTTGACGGACAGTATTAAACTTATATAATTTAACAGAGAAGGTAGCGAGGAGTGGTGTGAGAGACATGGTCGAGTTTTGAGAGGGAAGTGAGAATTTTAAAATTTATTTTTATATTTCTTTCTATCATCCTTAATATTGAGGAAGGAGGGGGTAAGGATCAGACATTGACCTATTTTATCGGTCAACTTAACGGAAATGATATGTTGAAAGGGAAGGAGAGAAAAGAGAAAAAGAAAAAGAGAAAAAGGGGGAAGTAAAGAGAAAAGAGATCTATTTAGGGTTTTAGGGGGAAGAAGAGGGGTGGTACAGTGTAACCCGGATATAAGAGAGATTTTCTCTGGTCCCAAAGTGTTCTCATACTTACCTAAACAAAATAGACCAAACCCGGATATAAGAGAAACCCGGATATAAGAGACTTCTTCTCCGGTCCCGACAACTCTCTTATATCCGGGTTATACTGTATAATTTTAGCAATTTAGATAAAAAAAAACAGATTTTAACGTTTGATAGTAATTTAAATGTTTAAAAAATCCACGAAGAAATTACTTTAATGCTTGTTAGCAATTTAAATATTAACTCCTTTACAAAAAGTTAGGGATTTATTATGAGTTGAATACTATATTTAAAAAGACATTTAAAAAATACAAAGATATAAAATATAATATATAAAAGTTTACTAATAGTAATCTTTTAATATTGTAAATGACTGTTAAGGTAACATCTTTATCAGTTTGAGTCTAATTCATGAATGTAATTTGTAAGTATTTTTAGATGGGTAATCTTTCTTACTTAAAGTTTAGGTTTCAAATTAAGATGGAATAATAATATTAATATTGGAAGGTAATATTTCTAAAAAAAATTGTTCTTTCATATATATACCACATATACATTTATGTAAGATAGATAGATAGATAGATAGATAGATAGATAGATAGATAGATAGGAACAGACTGAGAGATGACAGACAGACAGTTGAAAGGACATAGATAGATAGATAGATAGATAGATAGATAGATAGATAGATAGGAACAGATTGAGAGATGACAGACAGACAGTTGAAAGGACATAGATAGATAGATAGATAGATAGATGATATATAGATAGATAGATAGATAGATAGATAGATAGGAACAGATTGAGAGATGACAGACAGACAGTTGAAAAGGACATAGATAGATAGATAGATAGATAGATAGATAGATAGATAGATGATAGATAGATGAATAGGAACAGATTGAGAGATGAAAGACAGACAGTTGAAAGGACATAGATAGATAGATAGATAGATAGATAGATGATAGATAGATGAATAGGAAACAGATTGAGAGATGAGAGACAGACAGTTGAAAGGACATAGATAGATAGATAGATAGATAGATAGATAGATAGATAGATAGATAGATAGGAACAGATTGAGATGACAGACAGACAGTTGAAAGGACATAGATAGATAGATAGATAGATAGATAGATAGATAGGAACAGATTGAGAGATGACAGACAGACAGTTGAAAGGACATAGATAGATAGATAGATAGATAGATAGATAGATAGATAGATAGATAGGAACAGATTGAGAGATGACAGACAGACAGTTGAAAGGACATAGATAGATAGATAGATAGATAGATAGATAGATAGATAGATAGATAGATAGGAACAGATTGAGAGATGACAGACAGACAGTTGAAAGGACATAGATAGATAGATAGATAGATAGGAACAGATTGAGAGATGACAGACACACAGTTGAAAGGACATAGATAGATAGATAGATAGATAGATAGATAGATAGATAGATAGATAGATAGATATCGGAGCGTCTTATTTCAAAAGCAAAGTAATTTTCTCTTTGTAACTGAAGACTTTGATCACATATATAAAATAAATATCTACGTTTTCAAACTGATTCTTTCGCAAAGGACAATGGAAAAGCTCAACTGAGTAACATGTCTATATTCAAGAATCTTCCTTGAATATTGGCAGCTCGTCTAAAAAATCCATTTCAGAGGACTTCGCCAAAACAATGGGAAAATATGTATGATTATTTAGTATTGACGACAATTCTTTTCAAGAAATCATAAAAAAAATACTTGTAAAATCACTGACAGATATTCGAGAGATTTCGTGGTTATTAACAACAATACATCTGAAATACTCAAACAAAAATTCTTGCCAAAAACAATGAAATATTTCCGAGAAACCTCTTTCAATATCAACAAGAATTCATCTCAATGAATAAAATAAATCTATTTATAAAATCAATGAATGATATTGGAGAAATTCATTGAATATTAAGAATTCTTCTAAAAGGCTCACGAAAAAACTGGTAAAAAACAAGGAATAATATTTGAGAATCCACTTTCAATATTGACAAGAATTTGTCTAAAGAATTCGTCTAAAGGAATCAGATGAAAATATTTGTAAAATCCATGGAAGATATAAGAACAAAATAATTAATTATTAACAATTCACATTGAAACACACAGAAAAAAAAAGTTTGGCAAAAAGCCATGAAAAATATTTGATTGACTTCTTTCAATATTAAAAACAATTCCTCTGAAAGAATTGGATAAAATATTTGTAAAATTAATCAAATATATTGGAGAAATTCATTGAATTTTAACAATAATTTATTTAAAAATCCCTGAAAAAAGACCTAAAAAAAATCAATGAAAAATATTTAATAAACATCTTTCATTATTGACAAGAATTTGGGTCAAGGAATCGGACAAAATATTTTCAAAATTATTGGAAGATATTCGAAAAATATCATTGAATATTAACAATTCCTGTAAAAATCTCGGACGCATTGTCAAATCAATCAAAAAATAACCTTAAAACCGCAGAGAAAATTAATAATCCAATCCAAAATCATACTTATTATAAAACCGTTTATATATTGGATCGGATTTCCTACATTTTTCAACCGATTTCACCAAAACTTCACAGGACTACGTAAAATTACCTTATGGTGGTTCTGACAGCGCCAAAAATGGAAAAAACACAATTGTTTTTGCACAAAATTAATTTGAAAACACGATTAAGAGACATGACTGTCGCGAGAATGAAAGGGGGAAAACTCATATCGAATTATACTTATTGTAAAACCCAGGTTGTGTGTGTGTGTGTGTGTGTGTGTGTGTGTGTGTGTGTGTGTGTGTGTGTGTGTGTGTTCGTTCGTTTATATATGGGATCGGATTTCCTACATTTTTGAACCGATTTCAACAAAACTTCACTTTTTTAGGCAGGTAGTGTTTCTTATTGTCATGCACACTTTTTTTCTTAATTTTTACATTCAGAATGCTTTAAAAATTTCATTTACAAGACAATTGTTTATAATAAAATTCTATTCAATCGGTAGACTCATAACGATTGAAAACAATGTTTTTGTTTGAGTTTGGGTTTGACCAATTCGTTAAAAAAAAAATTAAAAAAACTAATTAAGACATGCGTGTCCGTCAACCTTAAACAATAATCTTTGTCAATTTTATTTTTCAGTCTTTATGATGGTCGATACTTGATCTATCTCTTACTGTTACATCCCCGGGCAACGCCGGGCTCTACAGCTAGTCTTAGATAAAAAAAAAAAATTACTCAACTCCGAATCTGATATGTGATTTTAATCATTTTAACCCAATCAAGGCAATAAAGCAAACTAAGATGCAAGGAATTACTATGTGCGAGAGAATATGAGAAAGAAAAACATTATCGAGACGAGAGGACAATAAAAGAAAACAATATTAAGTTGAAAGAAGAAGACGATTGGCATTGCCTTTAAATCTTTGAGGATCAACGTTTACTGGGAAGCAAGAATCTGGAAGAGAGTGCCACAAGCGAGAAGTGCGAGAGAAGAAACTGTTAGCATAGAACTTACGGTTACATCTCTTGCCATTTCAACTGTAAAATGAAACCTTTTCCGAAAATCTCATATTGCGCACCAGACTATATTTGTCCACAATTCTCAGAGCAAGGACGAATCGTAAAGTTATAAATATGTAAGATAGATTCTGGCGTGAAAAATTAGCTAGCACGACACAGGGAACCGATTTTCATGGCAGCAGGCCTAGCAGTTGATTCAATATAATCTTTCCATTTCATGTCAGTTAAAAACCTTAATTTGAGAACACTCAATGGGTCACCCTCCTGGCGGTTAGCATCATCCATGCTTATGAAAGGCAATAAAAAGGGTTCTCTCAGACGATTAAAAGAGAGTAGTTTCGTTTTGGAGCGTTAAAAATAACAAGCCATTTCTTGCCCCAGATAACAGATTGTAGGTTATTTTTAGGTCAGCTGCCAATTTGACTTTATCGAACCGATCAGGAGTCAATTGTTGTGTTTCGACTTTAGATGAAATCATCGAAATTATCTTCAATATTCCAGTGAAATGTTCAATTTATAAAGTTATTGTTCATAATTATAATATATATATATATATATATATATATATATATATATATATATATATATATATAAAAAGGTTAATGGTTAGAGTTGAATCAGACCACGAATCAGTAGTATTAAAAAATGTTCAACATGCGTGAGAAAAAATATAAGTAAAAATAAGAATAACATGTAGAGCTTTTTAAAAGTATCGCCCGAAGAGCCCGTCAGGTCGAAACCATGGTACCTTATTTTAATTGACCTCCTAATATATATATATATATATATATATATATATATATATATATATATATATATATATATATGTGTGTGTGTGTGTGTGTGTGTGTGTGTGTATAGGAAAAGTGTCTGTATATAATATATATATATATATATATATATGAAAAGTGTGTATATAGATGTAAATATATATATATATATATATATATATATATATATATATATATATATATATATATATATTATTATTATTTATATATTATATGCGCGGTACTTATTAGAAAGCGCTCAATATCAGAGATAGGGCTAACATATTTGGTTGGATTGATGTGATCCAACGAAATATATATATATATGTGTGTGTGTGTGTGTGTGTGTGTGTATAGGAAAAGTATAGATATATATATATATATATGAAATATATATAAATATATATATATATATATATATATATATATATATATATATATATATATATATATATATATATATATATATATTATTATTATTATTATTATTTATATATTATATGCGCGGTACTTATTAGAAAGCGATCAATATCAGAGATAGGGCTAACATATTTGGTTGGATTGATGTGATCCAACGAAATATATATATATATATATATAATCAAGTTATTTTTTTATTTCTATGAGTTCTATATTATGTTAGTTACAGCTGTCAATATATATTTTTATTCTCAAAAAAAAATAACTTTTATTTTATTGCTGGGTGTTAAGTTTAACATCCAAATAAACTAAATTATCAAATAAATATTTAGATATAACAAAATCCAACAGATGTCATCCATAGAACAATATTGATGAGCGTAATACCCAAACATCTGAATAAAACGTTTTATTATTTTATATGAACTTGGGATCAAATGCAGATCAAACATGGATTGGAATTCGACAGAATGGTTAATTAAGAAACTTTACTGAATACATTTTTAAAGAATCTATCGTATGTTTATCAAAAGCAAACGATATTTACCGTATCTGACGCAATTTTTTTACTAAAAATATCTTTTAAAATTCCTCTGCATCTTATATGCCATATGTAGGTTTAAAATTCACGATAGTCGGCCGAAATTATCTACATGGCAACTCCTATTAGCTTGGACTTTAGAGTAACTTTCATATATCAATTGTCATTATTTAAAAGGCTATTATTCAGATTAAAATTGTTATCATTGATAATATTCATTATATTAATTTCATCACGTTTAATATTAGTATTTTGTTTCACTAAAATTATATGCAATAAATTCAAATTATATATTTGTAAAATATATTTGTTTCATTAATATTTTTCTTTCGATAACTTCCGATTGCATTGGTATAAATACAATCAGAATTTTTATATCCTAATTTTCCCACTAAGACGTTTACAAGACGCAAGTTGTACAGATCATATAAAGGTAAATTTTTGACTGAATTTTAATGGTAGCTGTATTGTCTTGCTCAATTGTAATAATTGCACGATTTTTATTTTGTTTTCTTACCTTTGGAGATAATAAAGTTTTTATAGGCTCGTGTTCTTTTTCCCTATTATTTTTCGTTTAATTGTATTACCCCTATAAATATAACCTGGGCTGTACCATTTACTAATAATTTTACTAATTTTTACTAAATAATAACTTTTTCTTGATCTGCCAGGTTGAAATTGGGGTGCGTCTTATAATCCCGTGCGTCTTATATGCCGCCAAATACAGTACTTATGTTCCCATATAGAAAATATAAATAAAAATAAAAATAACATGTAGAGCTTTTTAAAACATTATTTACATTATTCGGACTATTGTTCTCATCTTTTTCGCCTTATCTATCACAAGATTTCGGCCGTTGTACGCTCCGGCCTTCTTCAGGTGATTGGAATGTCGAACTGAACCCTTTATTTCGCTCACTGGGGTAGACTGTTCTAGTTCCACGTGCCATGTTTAATGAATGTCAGTTTTCAGTTATCTCCTGTTAATTTTCCCTCTGAAAGTTCTCCACTGCCTTAACCGGGTATTGAACTCACACTCTTTGGGTCCTGTCACTGGATCTAACCAACGCCTTTATCCATGTGTCCTTGTGGACATCTGGGTATGAATTTCTGGGTATTATAAACCTAATGTCTTCAGCAACCATTTTTATCAAGGCTCATATTGCAATTTTGCTGTTATCATTTCATGTTTTTACCAGAGTTCATATTGCAACTATGTTGTTATCATTGCTTTTCTCTGGCACTCCTTATTACTGGTTCCCATATTGTATTTATTTCTATGCTTGGTCGGCCCAGGAGATTTTTGTGGCCTAGCATATGTGCTGATTCCTTAAGTTTACGAATTTTCCAATGGTGTTCCTTGTCAATTATCTCAACCTGATCCCACAGGGGGCGGTGATCTCCCTTCTCTCTCCATATGTGGTCAGCCACGCCTGATTTTTAAATTTTTAAAAGTATCGCCTGAAGATACCGTCAGGTCGAAACTATGGTCTCTTATTTTAATTGACCTGTGTGTGTCTCCACACGAGACACACACACACACACACACACACATTTACATATATATATTATCATTTGAATGCTACATAGTCAAACTAGAATTATTTTTTATGTGCCATGACCCTTCAGAACATAAGCGACCATGGCCCTCCACATCTTTCTGTCCCTTGTTGCTCTTCATAGGTTTTGTCTTTTTGTTATTTCTCCCAAATCCTTTGCTCAAGCTCATCGAGTATGTCATGCGTTGTTTTCTGCTGACCCCCTTTCCCTCTATCCGCCCCGTGAGTATCAGATTTTCCGAGCCTTCCTTCATCATTACGTGTCCCAGAAATCTCAGCTGCCTCTTCCTGATGTTAAGTATAAGTTTCGTTTTTGTTTCCATTCTCCCCAAAGCCTCGTCGGCCCAAAGAAATATTTACAGTTTCTTTTTTGTTTTGTTTTTTGTTTTGTTTTTTTCTGTTAGACTTGGAATCTGTTAATTTCTTGGCGCTTCGAAAGGACGTGTTGTCTCTCCTTGAATTCGGAATGCCATACATTATATAAACGTTGTTTAACATATGAAATGCATGTGAAACATGATTAATCAATATACATCAAACAGCACAAAAATAAAAACACCAGCATTTCTTGGAGCTTCGAAAGGACACGGCGTACGTATGTGAGTGCATAATAATTCTGTTTCTACCCCTCACACACACACACACACACACACACACATTTAAGAATATACATTATCATCAGTATCTCACATCGAGAAACAAGCATTATGATACACTTGCGTACATAACGCAATACTTATGTTTGGGGGTTCAGTTAGACTTGAAATCTGTTAATTTCTTGGAGCTTCGAAAAGACGTGTCGTCCCACCTTGAATTCAGAATGCCATAAATTATATAAACTTTGTTTAACATGTAAAATACACGTGAAACCTCATTAGCTAATATAAATCAACTAACACAAAAATAAAAGCACTAGAATTTCTTGGAGCTTCGAAAGAATACGTCGTATGTATAAGAGGGCATAATAATCGTGCTAATATTACACACACATACGATATTGATATTGAGTCACCCCCCCCCACACACACACACGAGGGTGTCATGTGGCACAAGGCCTTTTTAACGTGGGCATTCCTGAGCCATTAGGCTTGGCCAAAAAATAGCCCATTTGAACCCGTATAAACGGGTTCAGGGCCGGTTTTACCTCCCCGAAGGAGACTCCCGCCCGCACACACATACACACACACACACACAATTACGAATATACATTATCATCTAAATCCTATAAACAAACTAGAATTATGATACGCTTACATACATAAAGAAATATTCAAATTTTATTTTTTTATATGAATTGGACAGTTTACGTTCTAGAAGTTTTTATATTGTATAATAAACAACATTGAAGATGGTAATATCTGAGAATGTTCACTGAATATTAATGAGTCTGTCTAAAAATATTCTTCAAAATGATTACGTTTACATAAATATTTGGTAGATGCTAACACAATTACTTTTGATAATCTACATGGGAAGAAATTCCTATGGAGAAAGAATCAACAGGAAGACGTTTATTCCTGGAAATAATAAGAGAAACACAGATTTTAAGTGCCTATGAATTTGCTGGATGATTTGTCCTTCATTCTAACGATTTCTACCTCTATATTCTGAAGAAACTGGCACAAAAAAATTAGATTTATTGTTAACTAGCCCAGAAGGCTAGCTCCTGCGAAGGACTTTCGGGCCTTAGGCCTTTTACTTTTAATCCTATGTACGTAAAAGTTGTAAGAATTTAGAAATAATAAAATTATTTTATCTTTATTCGACACCTTAATTCGGCATAATCTTTCTTCGTATACACAACTGATCTCCGTCGTTTTATACATTTATTTTTTGCGCCATCTTTATTTTCTTTTATGATTTATTAATTATTCTTTATGATCTTTTTACATAGATAGATAGATAGATAGATAGATAGATAGATAATGAACACCCACACATATATAGATAGATAGATAGATAGATAGATAGATAGATAGATAGATAGATAGATAGATAGATGGAGATGACTTACGCAAGTACAGAACTTTAAAGTAAATAAATAATTGATATAGGTAAATAGAGAAATGCATAGGTAAGTAAATTATTTGATATGTTAAGGTGATTTTCTTCTAGAAGTCTACCTTTTCCTTCATGTCTATCTATCTATAGATTTAACTCGCTGTCTTCACTTGTATCTATCTATATCCGTCTGTTTTCATTTGTCTCTCTCTCTCTCTCTCTCTATATATATATATATATATATATATATATATATATATATATATATATATAGATGCCTGTTTATATCCATTTATCGATAGATTGATCTATCTATATGTCTATCTATCTCTGTTCAGACGTGTCTATCGATCTATCACAGTCTGTTCACTATCCATCTATACATACATATATATATATATATATATATATATATATATATATATCTCATCTATTCCTATTATTCTGTCTCTATGAGTCTGGTCATATCTATCTATCTATCTATCTATCTATCTATCTATCTATCTATCTATCTATCCGGTCTGTTCATATATATCTATCTATCTATCTATCTATCTATCATATCTATCTATCTATCTATCTATCTCAGCCAGTTCTTATCTATCCCTCTGACTCAGATTGACAGGTACTAGCTTAGACAGATAGATAAATAGATTGATATATATATATATATATATATATATATATATATATAGAGAGAGAGAGAGAGAGAGAGAGAGAGAAATACTTCCTGTGGGCCTCTTATCCTGCATTACCTCTGTCAAAATATCCTCTTCATAATATCGATGCAATATGCTTCGAACTTCATGTCCTTATTTGTCTCGATGAGATATATATATATATATATATATATATATATATATATATATATATATAGTTGCCATTATGGTGAGCTTCACTGAGCAGCTTTAAGCTATTTAAGGATAAATGTTCTATAAATACATTTACTTGATCGATTCCCTTCTATCGTGTCCTTTCGAGAGAGAATCATGGATGCGTGTGTACTTGTGTGTACTTGTGTTTATCTCAGTATCTGTCTATATTCCTACGTATGTGTAAATATAGGAATGTGTACGTCTTGATTTATTTGTAATTATATACAAGAAGATCTGTGTGTATGAGCCTGGATGTTATAAGAGACGGTGACAAAAGGTTCATAGCCCAACCAACAATATCAAAATCTGTTCCGATATTTTAACATTCGGCCAGAGGGACAGGTATGAAGCTTCTAAGATAGATAGATAGATAGATAGATAGATAGATAGATAGATAGATATGGACAGACCAGATAGATAGATAGATAGATAGATGAATAGATAGATAGATAGATAGATAGATAGATATGGAACAGACTGAGATAGATAGATAGATAGATAGATAGATAGATAGATAGATGAATAGATATGGACAGACCGAGATAGATAGATGAATAGATAGATAGATAGATAGATATAGATAGATAGATATGAACAGACTGAGATAGATGAATAGATAGATAGATATGAATAGATAGATAGATAGATGAGATAGATGATATATGAACAGACGGAGATAGATAGATATGAACAGACTGAGATAGATAGATAGATAGATAGATAGATAGATAGATAGATAGATAGATAGATAGATAGCAACTGTCCCGGCTTGGATATGTAGAGGGTGAGATTGTCGTCTAAATTACGCAAAAGGAAGATAACACTGTCATCTTATTATATATATATATATATATATATATATATATATATATATATATATATATATATATATATATATAGTTCACTTCTACTAGCAAGCAGAAATATTTCTTCTCCTGATGATGCCCATTTTGGCCAAAACTTGTCGAGGAATCTAAATGAAATAACAATAAAAAACGAAAAGAATATCAATCTACAACCCAGTATGTCTGAAGACTTTAATTAATTTTTTAATATTTTTATTGTTGTTCAAAAAAATATATATATATATATATATATATATATATATATATATACATATATATATATGATGCGATGGATAAATTGTCGTGTAAATTACACAATGATGAAAATGAAATTGACATCTCATTTTTACAGATATATTTACCAAAATTACACAAATATATCTAGAAAAACTAAAACAGTAAATTTATTCGATAAAATCGCCATTGGCTTCAACCATGACCTCCAGACGACTTCGGAATCTCCTGCAACTCTTCTGGGCAGTCTCCTTGTTTAAGTTGATGAATGCTACCATAATCCTTGCTTTCAGGTCATCTTTGGTGTTACAAGGAGTTTTCTTGGCCTCTCGCTCAAATGCACCCCACACATAATAATCAAAGGGTTTGCAGTGTGAGGAGTTTGGTGACTAGATATAAGCGGTGATGTAGTCACATAAATTGTTTGACAGCCATGATTAGGTCCGCCTGTTTATGTGACATACCAAAGTGTCCTACATAGGGTCTTTTAGCACTCACCTACTTGTCCCATGGCAGCATTGCCTCCTCAAGGCACTTGATGTAGGTCTCCACGTTGAGTCTGAGGTCCTCCCCAAGATATCCAGGGGTGCTTTTCTTAGCATAACGATCAGAGCGAG